GACGCACCTAGTTTTTAGAGGAGGAAACCCAGAAAAAAAAATATTCTGAACAAACTGTTCCATAGTGTTTCTTACCATGGGACAGTTTGTTCAGAATATTTTTTTTTCTCCCCTGTCCCATAATGATCTTTAACCCCCCTTTCCTCTGTCCCATAGTGATTGTTAACCCCTCCCACCCTGTCCCATAGTGATTGTTAACCCCTCCTACCCTGTCCCATAGTGTTCTTTAACCCCTCCTCCCCTTGTCCATTAGTGTTCTGATCCCATAGTGTCCCCCCCTCCCATTGTTCCATAGTGCACTTTCCCTCCCATAGTGTCCCCCCTGCCCTTGTCCCATAGTGTCTCCCCCTCCCCTTGTACCATAGTGTCTCCCCCTCCCCTTGTCCCATAGTGTCCCCCCTCCTCTTGTCCCATAGTATCCCCATCCCCTTGTCCCATAGTGTCCCCCCTCCCCTTGTCCCATAGTGTCCCCCCCTCCCCTTGTCCCATAGTGTCTCCCCTCCCTTTCTCCCATAGTGTCCCCCCTCCCCTTCTCCCATAGTGTCTCCCCTCCCTTTCTCCCATAGTGTCTCCCCTCCCTTTCTCCCATAGTGTCCCCCTCCCCTTGTCCCATAGTGTCTCCCCCCCTCCCCTTGTCCCATAGTGTCTCCTCCCCTCCCCTTGTCCCATAGTGTCTCCTCCCCTCCCTTTCTCCCATAGTGTCCCCCTCCCCTTGTCCCATAGTGTGTCTCCTCCCCTCCCCTTGTCCCATAGTGTCTCCCCCTCCCCTTGTCCCATAATTACTTACCTGTCTTGGAGCGTGGGCCGGCTTCACAACGCGCTCCGCGGTCCAGGAACTAATATTTCAGGTTCCGGTTTCCGGCGGGACTGAAAGGAAGTGTGCACACTCAGTGTGCACACTTCCTTTCAGTCCCGCCGAAAACCGGAACCTGAAATAGAAGTTCCTGGACCGCGGAGCGCGCTGTGAAGCCGGCCCACGCTCCAAGACAGGTAAGTAAAGCTTCACATTCGCTCCATAAGACGCACAGACATTTCCCTCACTTTTGAGGGGAAAAAAAGTGTGTCTTATGGAGCTTAAAATACGGTATTTAATTTTTTGGCTTGCTTAGTAGGTCCTGTATTATTATTACGCAAGGGAGATACAGTAGTTCTATCCAAGAATGGATCACTAACACAATTAAAATCACCAGCGATAATCAAATATCCCTTATTGATTTTGTCAACTTTATCCATTATCAAAGAAAATTTAGTCATTGGATCAACATTGGGTAGATACACATTGACCAATGTATAGATTTTAGCTTCGATCTTACAAACCAAAATAATAAACCTCGCTTCTGGATCGAGTTCAGTATGTAGAATATCTACATTAATATCTTTACTGAATATAATTGCCACACCCCTTTTTTTATTTTTAATTAATGAGGCATGAATCGCTGTTACAAATTTATCTCCACCCCATGTTTGTTTAGTATCTTTAAGCCAATGCGTTTCTTGTAAGAAAGCAACCTGTATATTTTGTTTTATCAGGGAGTCATACAGTCTATACCTTTTTTTATTAGTATTAAGCCCCTGGACATTCAAGGATAAAAACTTCAACATATAGATACCTAAGAGAAATATTTTTTGACTTCCTGAAAAAACAAACAAAAAAAAAAACACAACATATACTTCCTATCATTGGGCTATGAATAAGTCCAACATCATCATTCATCCAACTATTAGGTAAAAACCTAATACTACAATAATCATTGACAGCCATATTGGTGCAATGAAAATGGAGTAGCAAAACTACACAAGAGTGGAAACCCCAAACCTTGCCTGAGTTGAAAAACCTACCGCTACAAAAATGACCTCCCTCTTTCATATAATAAATCTCCCTTATAGAAGGAAGAGAGGGAGAGAGATTTTTTTTTTTTTAAATTAATTAAATTTGTGAATATCTTCGTTACTCTATCTTTAGCTTGAACATAGTGCAAATAATATAGATCTATAGAATGCTGACCTTGTATAAATAAAATGTTAAACTTGTAAGAAAATTAGTAAATAATTCTTTCCTTTCCCTCCCTTCTTCTTTTCTTTTTTCTTCCTCCCCCTTTTCCCCCCTCCATATATTAGAGCAACACAAGTATGTTGCATTATCAAGTGTTAGTTATGTTCATAAAAAATCTGCCTTTGTGGGTATACTAATTAAATTACTTGAGAGTAAATATATTTCTTATAGTGCAACATATAAGGACTTCCAAAAAAAATAAAAATAAAAAAAGAAGAATTTTAAATTAAATTTATAAATACCATCATTAATCTATCTTTATCTTAAACTTAGTGTTTATAATATGATTCTATTAAGTGCCAACTATTATATTAAACTTGTAAGCAAATTAGTGGTTATAATATATAGAACACCAAGAGTAGCTTACAAATGTTGCTTTTTAAGGTGTTAATTACTTCTCAAATTTTTTTTATCTTAGTGAGTATAAAGTAATAATTAAATAAATTAAACATAAATATAATTCTTATATTACAACACAAAAAAGAAAAAATATTAATTGGATTAATGAGTGCCTTCATTACTCTTTCATTACCTTAAACCTAGAATTTATACTATAATTCCATTAAGTGCCAATCATTAGTAATTAATATATTGAGCTTGTGAAAAAATTAATAGATTTATAGGGTAAACAAACACCGAGAGAAGCAAATACATATTACTTTTTCAAATGTTAATTTCTTCTAAGGGATTTTAACTTGGTGTATATAAAATAATAATATGTTTTCTTGTGCATGAGTATATTTCTTGTGATACTACGTGAAAAAAGTGCTTGTAATCTTCTCTTACCCTTTCTTCTCCCCCTCCTCCCTCCAGCACACATATTCATATTTATCTTCTACAGTATATAATTATAGAGCTAGAGCAACAATTTGTTACTTTTAAGCCAATCTGTTAAACTAGCACTAGTCTCAAATATTTCTCTTCTACCTTCATAAGAGAGGCTAAGTTTTAGTGGAAAAAGCCACTTATATTTTATATTATGATTTCTCAAAGATCGTGTGGTGAAACTAAATGCTTTTCTTTTTGTTCTGGTTTCAAAGGATAAGTCTTGAAATACTTTAACTTTCTGGAAGGGACCATCAGAGATTAGATTAGTTCTTGCAAATTTCAAAATGGTTTCTTTGAAGTCAGACGAATAGAAACATGCAATAATATCTCGAGGGGAATCATTTTGGATTGCTTGTGGTTTAAATGTCCTGTGACATCTTTCTATTATCAGGTCAGAAGATTTAAAGGGGACACCCAGTGTAGATAGATATTCCATCAAAATCTGTTTTACATCTTCTTGTCTGCCTTTTTCTGGAATGTCTCTGAAACGCAGATTTTTTTCGCCTTGATCGATCTTCCAAATCAGATAATTTATTTTGTAAATTTGTAATGGCCCGATGTGCCTTATCGCACTCTTCTGATAAATTTTTTTGTTGATAATCTAGTTGGTTTAGATGGTCTTCAAATCTTTCCATTTTTGCAACAAGTGCATTTATTTCAGTTTTAATATCCGATTTAATTTCAGCAGCAGTTGAAGCCAGTTCGGCTTTAATCTCGTCTAAGTTAGCCTTAAGACTAGAATGTAGCAGGGAAGTAGTTATTAAGTCTTTATCAGGATTTCTTATGTGGTCTGGTTCCAGATTTTCTGAACTTAGATCCATTTCATTTATTTTCTGTTTAGTGATCTTATGTTGCTGGGGAGAGAAGTAAGTTTAGTGATTTATCCTGAGATTTATCTTGAATAGAATCTTTTTTATCTTTCCTTGAAGAGGATTTAGTTTCATGGAGTTTTTTCGAAGCCATGTTATGAGAATTTCGCCCCTGAGAAAGCGTCAGACCACTATCAATTAATCTTTATACAAATCTTAGTTTTAATAGGGTTCAAAATCTTTTTTTTTTTTCCCTCTTTCTTCCCTTTCCCCTTTTTCTTTTCTCTTTTCCCCCTTTTTCTGCTTTTTTTTTTCTTTTTTATATATTTTTTGCCTTTTTCTTTCTCTTTATTTTCCCTTCCCTTTTTCTCTTTTTCTTATCCTTCTTCCCTCTTCTTCTTTCCTCTTAGGTTTTCTCTCTTTCCCCTTCTTTTTTACTTTCCTTTCCTTCTACTTCCACTTTCCCTTTAAATTTCACTTTCTTTTCTTCTATTTTTCTTCCCTTCTTTCCCCTTCTCTCCCCTTCCCTTTGCTTTTTTTTTCTTTTCTTCTCCTTTCTCTTCAGCCTTTACTGGTTCTGTCTTTCTCCCATCCCCATTTTATACATAAAACACAGACATGTTAGAGACAAGACTCCATTATGCACATGGGGACACAAAACAAGCATTACTGTTAAAATACACCAGGTAAGACACATTCCATTAAAACTATACATTTAACATATCCCCAGATAGCTCAGGTCTGAGCGCACATTTATTAAGTGAATGGCGCTCAGACCACACGAATACAGTTTAATCGCCATGGAGCCCAAGTCTTTACAGTCAGTTTCATACGAATGGGCTCCATGGGATTCCTATCTGGGGTATAACACATTCAAAAAATCTACCGAACCCCAGGCAGAAAAGCACGAATGAAGCTTTTCTGCAGGTAAAAAAGATGTCTTTTAACAGGGGGCCATAGTCCAAAGGCAGCAGGCGAGCAACCAGGCTTTTCCAATGCAATGTGGCGAGATTGGTCTCGTCACATACATATTTTACTATAATTCCATTATATACTGAGAGCATTATTGCTGTTTTTGTTATATATATATATTCTGGAGCACTAACAAATCAGACTAGATGGACGGACGTCCCTCTCCACTATATCCGTTAGCGGGGATTATACCGCTACACGCCCTTCACCCCAGAGCTGACTAGAGCTCTTTTAAATGTGAGTGTATTACTTTTATTATACTATCCTTTTACTGGATCCAGTATTGGTCTATGAACGTTCAGGGTATGTTACATAATACGGCATTCCATGTCAGGGATCTCGACAAGGTCAAGTTTTGATGCATTTCTTCATCTCATCGTACAAGACTAGCACAAAAGAACCACCCATTCCTCTGAGGACATTAGACCAGGCACCCTTGAAGAAAGCCTTGGAACCTTCATCTCTCGCAATCTTTTTTCAGCAGTCAATTGTTCCAGAATACATGATATCAGCTCCTTTTCTGCCAGACTGCATCATCATTCTTCGATGGACTGTGTCAAATGGATACGATGCAAAACCTGCCACTGCTGTTACTGTCTCAGCAATCATCCAGCTAATAATGAAGTGTGTTCTTGGAGTCTGGAAGCATTCCTTTGGCTGTATCAGATATTCCAAAATAAGCTGCTCTGTAGATGATAATGCGTATCTACCTACAGATACATTGAAACCTTGGTAAAGGCCTTTAATACCATCGGATTTGGAGTTCTTGACTAAGCAGTCACCAAGGCCCTGCCTACATCAGCAGCCAGCGGTGTTCTGGCAAAGTCAAGAGGGTAGGCAAAGCAGAGGGAAGTGAAACCAGCAGCACCACCAGATGCCAGATTAGTGTCTGAGTTGGGAAATATCGGATCACGTTAGCAAGGTTACCACGCCAGAAACCTTGTTCTTTGGAAATACGGACAACACCGTCCAAAATGCCCTTGTACTGGTTGTCAGCAGTAATCTGTTTGCTTGCATGCTGGACTTGCGGAAGAAGCTTGACTCTTTCAATGGGAGCTATAGCCACACCGCCGGCCAGGAAATCCTTAGCGAATGAGATGGCTGCGTCGCTCATGGTGATTTGCCGGTTCGGTCAGTGAGTGGCTTCTGCTGCAGCACTAAAAGCTTCCAAGGGCTGGGCATATACGGATATTTTAACCATCCGGATCAACTCTTGAGGATTGCCAACTCTCCCCCCTATCCTGGTGTGGCGAAACCAGCCTCACTATTGTCCACTATTTGCCTGGTTGCTCGCCTGCTCCCTTTAGACTATGGCCCGGCAGTTAAAACCTTTTATTTTCCCTGTAGAAAAGTGTATTCGTGCCTTTCTGCAGACTGTTAAAGCCATGCTACCCCAGATAAGCTATGCCATGGAGCCCAGCCGTATACTGGCGATTGAACTGTATGGACGTGATCTGAGCGTCATCCGGTAATAATGTGCGATCAGATCTAAGCTATCTGGGGATAGGTAGAATGTGTATGTTCTATGTGATAAATGTAACAGTATGTAATTTTTTGTCTTTTATTGTCCTTTGTCTGCCATGTGGCTGATGGAGTTTTGCCTCTGTCCTCGGAGATAATTGGATTACTGCCAAATTACCTCCAGGACAGAGAGGAGGGATTATGATGCATTGTGGGAGTGTTTAAAGGTGTATGTCTGTGATTGGTCAATGTCCAATATGTTTCCCAGTTTCCCATCTGGTCCCCTAGGGGAGTGTCCACCAGGTGGGAGACCTGCATAAAAGCCGGGCAGGTAGCCCCAGTAAATCAGATTCAGCTTGACTCTCAAAACGAAGTGTTGTCTCGTTTTTGGGGGGATTTACTGTATGCTGTTAGAGACTGATTGCCAGGAGTGTAAGCCGCTTGGGTGCTTTTCCTGTTTGTCTGCTAACAGCTATTCGTGTGTCTCCAGTTCGGAAGTGTGGAGTGCTACTTGGTATGCAGTTCGGGAGTTTCAAGTATTCCCTTGGTTGCAGTTCGGGAGTTGGTGAATTTGTGGGTTTGCAGTTCGGGAGATTGGTGCTTGCAGTAGCTGTCTGTACATCTGAAAGTGGGGAATATCGCCTAAACGGTTTTTAACCTCTTGTGGGCGAAAACGGTCCTTTACACCTGGCATATAGAGAGACTTTTTATGTGACTTTTATAAAACATTTTACTATCCGGATGGACTAACTCCTGAGGATTACCCCTTTTAGCTTATTTTATTCAATTTTACTGTTCATTTGGGAAGTTTTACTCCTTTTTTGTTCTATTTATTAATATAGGCTTATTTGTTGTATCTTCATTTAGACCATTTGGTCTGGTTGTTTGTTATCATAGATTACTATGACTAACCTCGGGTCTTGAGGGATTCCCTTTTTTGGGTTGCTGTCCTTTAGTCTGTTTTCTAGTGCCGACTCTTCCCCCCTGTTCTTATACTTCATTTATGTACCTATATATTTAAATTCCCTTTATCTTCCTCTATTATCCACTAGAGGTCTTATTTTATATCTCCTTACCTCTAACTTATATATGTCTTTACCCTCTCCCTTCTCCTTAACCTTAGAGCTCTCCTATATTCCCCTCCCACATCAGTTTAGATCAAATTCTGTGATCTCCCTTTTTTCTGTAAACTATCTCCATATGTAAGATCACATCATTGTAATGCAGCCTCTAGTCCCTTCCATCTGTCACATCCTGTTTCTGTCTGCGGATCATTTCTGATCTTGGCTTCTGATATTTTTACAATTCTTGTTTCGTTGTTCTGGTTTTCTATTCTATGTCTGGTTTTCTTCATGCTGGGTTTTCTGGGTTCATTCCTTTATTCTGTTCCTGGAATTCCCAGTCTCCTGGATTCCTTTAAATGTTTGTTTTTTGTTGCCATTTATCCTTTCTGTTTCGGTGTTCCCTGCTAGCAGTGACCTCATCCCTCCCTTCCTTGTTGGTAAGTGCTGTGTCTGTTTTATTGCTGTACTTTTAGTCATGCATATCTAGGCAGTTAGGACCCACCGTAATTGGAGTACTTTGGCGCAGTGGTATGCATACATCTTCGCCATTTATGTATGTCTAAATCTCCAATGTTTATTACATATATAGTGTTAAGACACCTCTAGTGTCTTTAAGCCAAACCGCCGTTTAGTAGACCTTCCCCGGCTGCAGTACAGTCTCCGTTTGCTTACTCTGTAACACACGAACCCAAAATGCAGGGGAAGCGGCAATCTCCCGATCGAGATTCGTGAACGGCTTCAAACTCCCGAACGGCAATACACGAACTGCTGGTAACCGCCGAACAGCAATATTCCCCAAGCGGCTTTCGTTCCATCCAGCAGTCTCTAAACGTGAAGAAGAAATCCCCCCCAATAACGAGACAGAAGCTCCGCATTGAGGGTCAAACAGAATCTGGCTTTACTGTGGGCTACCTGCCCGTATTTATGCAGGTCTCCCATTTGGTGGACACTCCCCTAGGGGACCAAATGGGAGACTTAAATTACAGACAGATCTGGGGACATCCCAGACACACAGTCACAGATTTTACCCACAGTGCATTATGATTCCCTCCTCTCTGCCCTGGAGTTAATTACCAAGTAACTCAATTAACTCCAGGACAAAGCCAGTCGCCATCTTAGACATAAAATAATAAAAGACACAAAAATATATAACTACATGAAAACTGAACATTTCCCATTCGTATTACATGTCCCCAGATAGCCTGGATCTGAGTGCATATTATTAGCGAATAGCGCTCAGATCCCACACACATAGTTCAATCGCCATGGAGTCAAAGTTCTTACAGTCTTTCGGTATACAAATGACTCCATGGGAAGGCTATCTGGGTTAAGTCTTTTCGTATGCTCTCAATCTCCCGAACGGCCGGTGTTCGCATGCTTTCGTGGAGGCAGCCAGGCGTTCCGTTGTTTCAGCGGTGTTCGGCAGAAAAAGTGTCCGTTTTCAGTTCCATAGAAATAGAGCCAAACACCGCTGGGCGTTCGCTTGATTTAAAATGGCCGCTGCCTCGTGGTCGACATACGAACGACGACCACCCTGAATTCGGTTTAATTGAGAAGTGTCTGCGGTTAACCACAACGTTCTAATTGGGATCACTTCGTTAACCAGCAGCACACTCCTCACTTGGGTGGCCGTTCGTTCGGCAGGTTTGTTCGGGAAAAAGAGTCATTCGAATGGCTGGGCTATAGAAACCAGCCATTCATACGAACGGGGGACAAACAGACGAACGTAGTAAAAATCCAAGCAGACAGATGGTTCTGTCACACGGCTCCCTCCTTGTGGGACACTCCGGCAGACCCGGCTTGACCCTGTGGCGGGTCAACTTGGGGATGACCGGACTACGAGGTGAGGGAACGTCTGTTTGTCGTGACAACCCATCTGCATTCCCGTTCAGCTTACCGGGTCTGTAGCTGATGGTAAAATTGTAGGGCTGTAGGGCCAAGCTCCATCTCAGCAGTCTCCCATTGTCTCCTGAGACCCGGTTATGCCAAACGAGTGGGTTGTGATCAGTTACAAGTGAAAATTCTTGTCCATACAAATAGGGGCTTAACTTTTTCAATGCCCAGACCAAGGCCAAACACTCCTTCTCCACTGCCGCATAACTCACTTCTCTGGGTAACAACTTTCTGCTGAGATATGCGACAGGGTGCTCTCCTCCATCTTCCCCGACTTGGCTCAGCACAGCCCCCAGTCCATACATGGAAGCATCTGTATGGACGAGAAAGCGTTTGTTAGGGACTGGGGCTGCCAAGACAGGGGCATTCACAAGAGCCTGCTTCAGTGCCTGGAACGCAGCTTCACAAGCCGGAGACCACAGGACCTGCTTAGGCAAGTTTTTCTTGGTCAGGTCTGTCAGGGGCTTAGCAATAGCGCTGTAGTCAGGGACAAAACGTCTATAGTACCCTGCCGTCCCCAAGAAGGCCAATACCTGGGTCTTAGTAGTAGGTGTGGGCCAGTTAGCCACTGCCTCTACCTTGGCTGGCTCTGGTCTCTGGCTCCCGCACCCCACTCTGTGACCCAGGTACTGTACTTCAGCCATACCTAGATGGCACTTTTCTGGCTTCAATGTCAGGCCAGCGGCCCGAATTTTATCCAGCACTACCCCTACATGTACCAGGTGTTCCTCCCAGGACCCACTGTAAATCGCAATGTCGTCCAAGTATGCACAGGCAAATTCTTGGAAGCCATCTAGGAGTCTATCCACCATCCGTTGGAAGGTAGCCGGTGCATTTTTCATCCCAAAAGGCATGACCTTAAATTGGTACAGGCCAAATGGGGTGACAAATGCCGACTTGGGGATAGCATCCTCGGCCAGGGGGATCTGCCAGTAGCCCTTACACAGGTCTATGGTGGTCAGATATCGCAACCTGGCAATACGATCCAGTAACTTGTCTACCCGGGGCATTGGGTAGGCGTCAGTGGTGGTCCGCTCGTTGAGTCGCCTGTAGTCCACACAGAACCGGGTGGTCCCATCTTTCTTGGGCACCAGGACTACAGGCGAGGCCCAAGGACTGTCGGAGTGCTCGATGACTCCAAGCTGGGTCATCT